AGGAGGGTCCCACATGGCGCACAGACCTCTCCTGCCGCCCACTGCTCCACTCAGCAGTGTACTTTGGTCCTTCTGCCTGCTCTGCTCCCCGCTCTGGCTCTGGTGAATTCTCTCACCCTCCCGCGCTTCTGACTATACCCAGTGCTTGCATAAATAAAAAATAAATAAATAAATAAATAAATAAATAAATAAATAAATAAATAAATAAATCTTTAAAACAAAAAGATTAGTTCAAAAAGAAGAATGCTAGATGTAAACCAGTGCAAATGCCTAGGTCACAACCATGGCATTACTTTGATGGTTTTGATGTTAATAAGACCATCCCACCATAGCATGCAATTACAACTGTGCAATGGAGGAAAAATGAGGAATTAGGAGTCTGAGAACATGGAGAAACACATGGAGAGGAAAGGGGAGAGTGCTGGGAATTTTTTTAAGGGAAAAACATACTTTGTAATTGACTCTTTTTAAGGGAGACATAAGAAGAATCAAGAAGAAATTTAAGATTGTTTACCATAGTTTTAGAAATACTGTATCATTACTTTAAAAGAAATCGGCACACATACTGTTCTAGGGCAGAGCATAATAAGTTTTGATACCAATGTTAAAAAATTAATGTCAAAAAAAGGGTTAAAATGATAAAATAATTCTAAATAAGTCTAGGGCACTATATATTTTTAAAGATTTATTTATTTATGCGTTCAAGAGCTGGGGTGCAGTCCAGAGGTGCAGTGAGTGAGAGGATTCACCAAAGACAGAGTGGGGGACAGAACAGGCAGATTGACTGAAATACACTGCTGAGGGGAGCAATGGGTGAGACAGGAGAGGTCTGCTGCACCATGTGGGTCAGCTCCCTGGCTGGAGATCGAACTTGTGCTGCAGTAGCTGTGTCTAGCTTGAAAGTGCTGACACTTAACCCCTTGCACCACCAGGGAGGCCCCTAGAACACAATATTAAAATAAACAGCAACAAACAGAGACACAGTATAGACAAAAAGGAATAATAGAAACACACAAAGAAAATTTGTGTAAGCTGCAATCAAAGTAGGGTATTATACTGAATATTAAAATAAACAAATTTGAGATATAAACACATTAATGTCTCACAAAATACATGAAAGCAGAAAATAATTGCCACCATATAAACATTTATTTCAAAAACAGTAATATCACTTTTTCATATATTTTGTGGATTGTTATTGGGTAGATGATGCATAACTAGAAGTTATATGAACTATTTATGCTGTTCATTACCTCATTGTGTAGAAGCAGTGAGCTTTTATTTCCCTATTGGATATAAATGAAGAGATGCATCCATCCAAATATAGCAGAACTAGAATGCAATGTATCCCTGGTGAACTAAGTTCCGTAATAATACATAGTCTGAGAGCTTGCATACTTTTTTCTGTGCTCACAAATGTGTGCATTTTTTACCTTACCAGACTCTGCCAAAAGTGCAGTGTATAAAATAACTTAAAAGTGCAATCTGTTGAACACTTTTAATAATTAAATATCACAGAGATATACTACTGAATATGGGTTATTTATCCCTAATAATTGATGCCAGGAATATTATCTTCTTTATGTCACTACAGCAAGTAATTGTATATAAGAAGGTGTCATTTTGATGACAATACTAAAATGCTCATTTGTCAAAAGGGAAATTTCTATAAATAGTGCTATTTTACAATCAGCTTGTCTTATTTCTACACTCAAATTTCTGCCCATCGATATAGTAAGAACTGCACAGCCTATTGTTTAATGACTTTCTATATAGTATGATTTCACCATATTATAAAATTGTGCCCCATATTTTCCCCATCAATTGTTTAAAACCATCTGTATAAACTAGCACTCTCCTATTACCAAGATGGTCCCTGCTAATACTCATTTCATGAATGACAAATATGTTAGAAAGCATTGCAGGTAGTCAAAGCAGAAAAATACAGAATTTCAATGTACAAAGAAGCAAATATTATGCAAGGCATTGCTTAAACCATCAAGAAAAATGTTGAAATGCCACAAAAGTGAAGGTGATGCAACCCAGAAATTAGCAGCTGCAGGAAGCATGCTCCCCACGGATTTCAGGGAGAAGCAGGAAGAGGAGGTGGTAAGACTGGAGCCCAGCAATTGGGTCACCCAATCCAGCTCAGAGTCCAGAATCATGTGAATTTATCTGGCTAGATTTTTATTTTATTTTAATATTCTTATATTATTGTCCATTTTTCTACAATTTTTATTTCTCCCCTCAGGTGTAGTCCCCATAATTCTCTCACCACCACAGCACCCATGAATCATCACCACTGTCCCTTGTGTCTTCTCTCTCTCTCTCTTTTTTAAATAAGTTCTGTGTTTATTTATTTTTTATTTATTTACTTGCAAAAGCACTGGGTACAGTCAGAAGCGCGGGAGGGTGAGAGAATTCACCAGAGCCAGAGCGGGGAGCAGAGCAGGCAGAAGGACCGAAGTACACTGCTGAGGGGAGCAGCGGGCGGCAGGAGAGGTCTGCACGCCATGCGGGACCCTCCTCCAGTGGCCGGGGAGCAGCCGGGGATCGAACTGGCGCTGCAGAGGCTGCGGGCAGCTTCGCAACCCAGCGCTCAACTGCTGAGCCACCGGGGAGGCCCATTGTGTCTTCTCTTGATCCTCTCCCTTCACTTCCTAGGCTGTATGCCTCAGATCTATGGTCAGCTTGCAAGTTTTGTCCTTTTCCTGATCCTTTGTTAGGTTTCCCTATATTCCCCCTATAAGTGAGACCATCTGATAATTATCTTTTTCCTTCTGGCTTATTTTGCTTAGCATAATCCCTTCCAGCTCCATCCATGCCGCTGCAAATGACATGAGTTTATCTTTTTTGATAGCTGAGTAATCTTCTTGTGTATATATAACACGTCTTTACCCATTCATCTGTTTTAGGGCATTTAGGTTTTTTCCATATCTTAGCTGTAGTAAACATAAGAGTGCAGGTTTCCCCCTTCAAATTAGTGTTTTTGTGTTCTTTGGGTGGATTTCCAGGAGTAGAATCACTGGATCATGTGATAGATCCATTTTTTAGTGTTTTGAGAGGCTAGAGCAGATTTGAAGGAGACACAACCTATACCAGAAATGTCTTCTAGTGGGAGGAAGAAATACCTGGGCAGCTCTGATTCTCCTGCCCAACCCTCCCTTACTAGGACTTGTCTGAGGCAGAACCCAAAGAAAAGGCAAGTAACATGGAAAACTGGGAAAGAAAATGACTGAATTTCAGACTGCCTAAGGTAAAGTTCTTTGTGGAAGAACTTTTAGAGGTGCAAATTTTACTTTAATTAGGAATCATGTTTAGGTGGTTTAAAATATCATATCCTTAAATCATTTCATAAAAAGTAAATATTATCTAAGCAAATTTTTTATTAAAAATGCATGTATCTTTCCATTATATATATAATACAGAAATATACAATAGATTACATATTATAATCTGTAAAGTCTTTTTGCAAAGTACATGTATTTTAAACTCACATTGAAATTTTGTGAGTATGGGACCTCTTTGGTGATGCTGGGGTTAAGTCTCAGTGCTATCAAGCTATCAGCAGCCACTGCAGCATGTGTTCAATTACTGGCCAGGGAGCTGGCCCACATGGCACAGTAGACCTCTCCTGTCTCACGCTCTGCTCCCCTCAGCAGTGTATTTCAGTAGATCCACCTGTTCTGCTCCCCACTCTGTCTGGTGAATCTTCTCACCCTCCCCAAATCTCTGGCCTATACCCCAGCTATTGTGTGCATAAATAAAGAAAAATAATTTATTTAAAAATAAAGAAATTTTGTGAGTATGTAGAAATCAATGGATGTGTGTGTGTGTGTGTGTGTGTATGTTTCTGTGTGAAAGAGAAATTTGGTTTAGCCTTGATGCAAGATATAGGACACTTTTAAATTTATCCAGTGCTATTAAAGAAGTGTACTTTAAATCAGTTTGATTTTATCAAGGCAATTTATTTTGCCCTCATACAAATGTAGGAATGATTTACAATGAGTGTCTTTATCTCATAAAATAACTAAATGAGTTTTCTGCTTCAAAAGTACTTAAATCATACCCGTCCCTCCATTTATGCAACAATTTATGCTTTCAGCAATACAAGCATAATACCAAAATCTGTTATTTTTGGTATCTTTTTTACATGCTCATTGTTTATAACTTAGTTTAATCTAATTACTCTTTGTTGTATTTTCTAAGCTGAGTTGCGTATTTATCACCAAAGGTCTTATCTATATCACCATTATCATTAATCACTTGTGAATTACTTGCCTTCTTATGCATTTTTATAGCCTCCATTTCATTTGCTGCCTGGTCTTCTCTCAGAAGTAGCTCAGCCAAGTGTTTTCAACTTAGTGCAGCTCTCCCAGTAAACGATTTCAAAACTCTATCAGTCTTTCCTGTATTTGAGCAAATGATCTTGTATATTTTTCACTGCTATAATCAAAAAACAATATTGTTGGCTCAATATGGAAGACAAGATTCAATAAAATATCTTAAAACTCCTAATTAAACAGTACAACTTGGAGGTGTTTCTTTTTAATAATTGAAAATATCTCTCTTGATCACAACTACTTGTGCCCCTTTGCCATAGTGGCACTGGGGATGTTACATTTTCCTTTTTATTTTTGACTGCTGAAGTGACCTGTCTTACAAAACCTGACTAGATCTCATGTGTCAGAGTACAATACAGTTACATCAGTGAGCAAGAGCCATTGCTGACAGGTGTTAGGTTAAAACAGAGGCTTTTCTTTTGAGTTTAAATAGAAAATGTTTGGAAAATGACAGTGCTACAATGTAAAAGGCACAGAGAAACACTCTTATTTCTGTACATTTAGATCAGTCGTGGCGATAGAGTTAGAAAATTTGCAAAGTCATGAACTCTGAGCATTATAATGTAAGTTTTTAGAGAAAAATAATCATGTTCCAGTTCCGGTTAGAGATGAGAAGAGTTGCCTGATAGGAAGTCAATGCACAGCAGGTGTGACTTGGACTTGCCTGAGTTTTGAGCAGGTGCCAGAACCTAATATAGTAGCTTCTAGTAGCTTCTGCCCGTCACCTGAGAGTCGTCCACTTTGTCTGCAAGCAGCTGGTCATCAGGACCATCGGCACGGTTTCCTCCCTGGTTTCTTCAAAGCCAGTAGAGGTCTCTGAATCACAGTCTTGGGCACTTTCATTGGTTGTATGAAATGAAGTCTCTGTAATAAATTCATTCTCTTGAATTAAAAAGAACAGTTTCTATTTTTCTAAATTAAATATAACTTGCATATCTTAACTCTAGAGGGTGTGCCCTACAATTTATTGAGAATGATTAATTTAGATTTATCAGATGTTTAATTCAAAAATTATAAATGGAAAAATGTGCATTGAAGCAGTGTGAGACCAAAATGTTGGTTTTAAATGAACAAATATGAAGACTTAAAAGGACTCTTTATATAAGAGATGTGGGGTTTCCCCAGTGTATGCTAATATGCAATGTATTATTGATTCTTCATATTACCAAAGTTTCTTCATATTCCCAAAGTTTCTGGCTCATTTAAAAGTTTGTAATATGCCATCAGACCTATTTATGTGTGGATACATCAGCACACATGCATGACACACAAACACACACGCTCACACTCTAAATAGTAACAAATTATTACCAGGGACCAGATGCTGTCATACATATTTTTCATTAACTCATTTAATTCTCAAAACAGTCCTATTTGCATATTATTACTTGTTCACTCTGCATCTAAAGACACGAAGGCACAGACAAATTAAATGGCATTCGAAATTAACATAGTACTTAAAGAGGTTGATGCGGGTATTAAATCTATCCATTCAATCTAGCTACTGAAATACTCTCTTCGCTACTATGCATAATAACCTTCACAATCACTTTGTTAGTGAAGATTTGTCCTCAGTTCTAGTCATTTAGGAAGAGTTTAAGCATGATGTTTATCACATTTTATGCAAGTTGCAATGTTAGGTATAAAATATTTTGGGGTGCGAATTTGTCAGATTAAAGTAGAAGTTTGTTTTTATTCATTAACAAAGAAGAGGAAAAAACAATAAAACAGGAAATCCCTTCAACTACCCAATAATAGTAATAAAATTCTGATGAATATTTTGTGTATGAAAAACTGAGTTAAAATTGCATTGTGAGGAGGTAGGTATTAAACACATTATTCTTTGAAAGTGAGTGTTACAACTTTTTCTAATACCTATTTTGAAGATAAGAATATTGATCTTTTGGGTCTCCCCTGGTGGCACAGCAGTTGAGCGCTGGTTCGTTCCCCGGCCTCCAGTGAGGGTCCAACAAAAAAAATAAAATAATAATGATCTTTTAAAAGAAGCAAGAGTTTAGAATGCATGGATCTGTGAAGGAGCAGAGAGTCCAGGGCAAATTCTGCTTTTTATATTCCCTCCCCTTCTCCATACCCTTTATAGAAATAAGGCAGTGTGAGCTTGGAGGCACTGAGGAAGCATTTTCAGAGGAAAGGCTCAATCACAAATGAGACTTTCAAAAGCATCTCATGTCAACTTCGATGTGACCATTGCTTGACAGCCCATTTCAACCACTATTAAACTATTCCAGTCATCGTGGAAATTGGGAGCACAGAAGGAGTTACAAGCATCATCTGTTGGTTGCTTATGAGATTTCTTTTTTTGAATATCACCTAGTGCTCTCTCCTGAACCTTCCATGGATGCTTTGAATAATGCTATAATTATAGACACCTGCTCCTTGCAACAACACATTCAGGCTTCACAGTATATGTGGGGCAATATAGAGGGAGAGATTTGTTGACAAATTCAGCTGCTGTGCCACTTTTCATTATGAATAGTGTCACTATATATGACTTAGTGCTGTTTCTCTTGGACTTAAGTTCACATAACATGTAGACCAAGGAAGTTTTCTCTATTTTGTCTTTTTCCTCATTTTATAAACAGAATGAGTGACTTTCTCATGGACAACAATCTTGTGGCTTCCCCTGTGATCAGGTGCTGCCTCCTTCCAGCTCAGTTCAGAAAGCATCACGAAGAAGCAACTGACATTGTATTAGACTAATATTGACCTTGTTCTTTGTCAGATATATTTGAAACAAATCACAAATACCAATACAAACAAGTTGCTACATAATTCAGAGATGAATGTTGTACAGCTTTTTCCCCCAATTCTACGGCTGAAAATTTCTGAATTAAGAAATTAGTAAACAAGGAATCGTATGTTTTGAGAAGTAAAATTCAATAGGGGCAAGGAATTTGCCAGTCATCACTATAACTATATACCTGTTTTAAACAACATATGCTTTTTTTGCTTCAAAGAAACTTGGACCAAAAATAGTATCTAACAACATCTAGACATTTTGATGGAGAAAAAAATAAAAACCAGAGTAATATATTATATAATATTTTAAAAATAGCTGTCATTTTTTGTATAATCAACTCAAACTTTCATAATGACTTTTAGAATAATTTAAAAAAATCATTTTAAATTTTGTCCCACAAATGTATATTATATATATGCATGTATATATTACAAATATATAATATTCATTTTATTTGTCATAAAATATATATTTACATTATATATAAATATTTAGATATATAGGTATAAATGTTTTTACATATATTTACTTAGCTACATATCAAATGCATAATACTCATATTTATTCATACATAATGTTATAAAAATACTCTCTTTTTAATTGTGCTACTGTTTGAGTTCAATTGTACCACTCTCAAAGGAAAAACAAATATGAGTCAAAAGAAAGGGGTTTAAACAAATAGGAATAGTAAGGAAACTTATCAAAGTTACACAATTATTATTTTGAGCTTCAAATTGTTGATTGTTAAAGTCTTAATTTCAGAAAAATGGGGAAAACAAAAATCATGATTGCATGTAAAAACATCTTTATAGGGATTGATTTAGTTTTAATATACCACTGGTGACAACAAAATTAAGATAAGGTTTTGCTATTTTTGAATAGCAGGGTAAGAACTCAATTGCTGCATTATTGAGATGAAATATAATCAAGTAAGTAGATTGCAAAAATGGCACAAATTGACCACTCCTTCTCATTTCCCTTGCAGTTGATTTGCCATGAAAAGGTGAAGTCTATTTCTCACTGATTTTCACTACAGCCATGTGACTTACCTGGGTCAATGTAGCACTAGTGGAGACTTGAAAAGCACTTGCAGTTTAATACTTGTTATTTTTAATGCACTTACAACTCTGTAAACTTGTGATAACCGCTTATACACCCTGCTGGACAAAAGAAATTACATGGACAAGGTCTCAGTCAACAGCACTCTAAACTAAGATTTTCATAAACCAACTGCCCCCCCCCCAGAAATCTGGTAGCTTACTACAAACACAGATGCCAAAAGGATCACTCAAGTGAGCCTAACTCAAATATTCAGTTTGAAGGATCATAAGCTAAATGAATGGCTGTTGTTAGAAAGCACCACATTTGGGAGATGTCTGTATGTTTAACCCACAGAAAGCCAGAATATAAGTGGTGGTTTAAGGTAAATAGCATTCAGGCTACCAGGATCATGTATATCAACAGTGGATTTTTTGCAAGACATTTTATACAGGCTGAAGCCACTGCAGGAGCATATACAGACAGTATTTACACATATACACATAGCCACTTGGACACACAGACACACATAGACCACTGTGTAGGATAACATCTTGCAGTGGGTCCTCACAGAAATTTCGTGTAAGATAAAGCCACTGCAGGAATAGATATATATGCAAATTTTTTCTTCTTTGATATTAACTTCCAAATGCAGGCATGATTTGCTTTTACAACAGCCTACTTTCTAAGTGAAAATGGATGACTGGTGCATGAAAAATCATAAAAATGAATGTGACAATGATTTTCAATAAAGTTAAACATTAATTATGTGTCAATGTACATTGCTCAAGGAAACCTTTCAGTGTGTAGCTTGTGTTTACATATAGATACCTATTTGTGTACCTATTTGCAGCTCTACTTATATTTATGAAACTTCTGTGATAAAGAAACCTGTAAGTATTCTTCTGATAGGAAGATGAAAGGCAAAACAGCCTACAAAATCTAGGAAATGTGTTTTCAAACTTTTTCTATAGTTTTTTATTGCTTTTTATTTTTCTTTCTAGTCTTGCTTATATTCATTTCACTTATATTCATCTCTACTGACCTCTCCAGATGATGGCTCTATTTTAAAGAGAGATTGGAGTTCATTCTCTCAAAATTTTAAAGTAAAATTAAATTTCTTGTGTTTAAGAAAAGATTGTATGCAGACTAGAGTCAGATTATTTTGGTTTAGACGGCCTGAATATTAATAAAACTCAAGTAAATAAAAGTGATATTCATCAAATAAACTACTCTAAGTATAAAAACATATTATAATTTAAGAACAATTCTATTCTATTTGTTCTATTCTGTTCTATCTATATTGATGATATATTCAAATAGATAACAGTGGAGATAATTTTTAACTTACTGAATATTGCTATGAACTTAATATAGCTATGTAAATTCCATTATTACAGAAATTAATTATGTAGCATGCCTTCTAAAATAGCATTGGCACTCCATCAATTATAAAGCAATTTCTTGACTTGGGATCAAACTGTCATCCTACATATGCATGGAAATTTGTTTCTGGAGTCCTAGGTAATTTCCACTAATTAAGTGCATTAGTGAGTAAAACTAAACTACCTAGATGAACTATTTAACATTTAATTATAAACTAATACAGTACATAACTTTGATTAAATTTAAGAAAATACAAAGTCTTTTAATATTAAAATCTATCATTTTTTTCATAATTTTAGACTTATTTCATGAATTGTTCTCTAAGAGTCCTGAAGATCTAAATCAATATACACAAAATTAAAAGCAAAATATTACTACTTTTAGTATCAATCAGAACTTTGAAAGATATTAAAACTGCAGTGAATGCAGAACTCCCAGTCAAAAAGGCAAGGGTACTCCAATCTCATGTTGCAAATCTGTATTCCAGCCAGGTGTGGTAGAAAGACCCCTATCCCTTTTCATACCCAGCCCTGTCTCTTAAAGTTGAAGGGCTAACTCAAGTGTGGTGCGCCAAAAATACTGGAATCCTAGTCAGCCCAACTCATCTTGTCAGATGACACGGGATCCATGTTAGGAGGGGCAAGCTAGGAAGACCAGCAGCTGCTACTTCTCTCCTTTACCCCCTCATACCACTGCCCAGAAACAGAACAACCTTCCTTCCCAAAGAATAATCAAGACTCAAGGATAGTAAGTTTCTCAACTCTGCTTAAAGGGACTGATTTTATTTAAAACAGAGAGTGGAGAACTTCATACAAAAATGTCAAAAGTAATGAAGATTTTATTGGAAAATATTGACTTCAAGCAAAAATTGACAGGTTATATATATTAGCAACCTGTGTTTATTTGGAAATAACCAGAACAATGGCAATTTGGGACATGTCTGCTATGCAACATACTGACTTAGCAACATCCACCCCCAGGAAAAGAGACTGAGGTCCAAAGGAAACTTACTCATAAAAAAATAAATAAATAAAGGGGGAGAGTAGATAGGTTATTCTGAATGAGAGCTGATTGAAGTAGAGGCCAGAGGGTAACAATGTCTCCTCCTCCTGGCTGTAGCATTTGTGCCAACCATTTGTGTTCACCAGTGGTCTAAGCAACATGAAAGGTCAAATGTCAGACAAAACCCCAAACATTTATAGTTAAAAAATTATAAAATCATTGTGATTTAATTAAACAACACTTTAATTTTAATGAAAATGATCAATATTTTGAACGTTGCAAAAGGTTGGCATTTGTAATAGGTTAAACTGTTAAAATTTAATACGAAAACTGAAACATTATAACTTTATTCAGCATGTTAATAAAATATGTATTGCTTAAAGACAAATATAAATAGTGAAACATATTGCTTTTAGCTCAAGAAGAAATGCAAATCTGCAATTTAATACAAAATGCAAATCTGCAATTTAAATACAAAAACCCACCAAAATAGTAGAGTGAGAAAATGGAAAAGCATAAACTTCAAAAGGGGAAGATGAAAACATTTTGTAGTAATGTTCACCATAATAATATCCTGTAATCCTATAAATAATATCTTGTATCCTATAAATAATATCAGCATGATAATTATCCTAATAAAGGTTTAAATCTCAGTTTGAGTTTAGAGAAAAGGAAATATTGCTCTAGGTACTTTATAACAGATGCAACTAAATCAAATTGAGTCAAATATTAACAGTAAATGCCTGGGTCAAATATCTTAGTACAATTATTATTACTGAAGATATTCATAGAGATAAACATAAAATTATGTATTTCAATTTTAAAAAGGCAAAATATATCTTTTAGAATGCAAAAACTGTGCCAAAAAATTAAAATAAAGATTGATACAAACAAATATATGAGAATGGTACTATTTCTTTTTCGTTTTGACAGAAAACTATGGAAAATACAAATAATATTAAGGAATCAGAATATTATAATGAATATGTTCCACTTAATAATATACTATGGAAATTTTCAAATACAGTTTTATCCAATAGAAAATAAAATACACCACAGTCAACATAACAAGTTCTATTTAAAATTTGGAAGGGAAAAATAAAGATTAAAATTTTACTGTGGTAGTAGCTTTTCTCAATGGGAATACTTGCTATGTTTAGATTTATTCTATGCGGTTCATGATTATTTGAGATCACAGATTTTGTGGGAGAAATTTGACAAGTTCTAAAACTTATTTGGAAGATTAATGTATCCAGAATATTTGAGGAATGATTGTAGTATTTTGATTTGTCTAAATGAAGCAAAAATATGCTAATCTGTAAATTATTCTTGATATAAAAATTGGGAACAGAAGATAGTGAATGATAATAGTACAGCTACATAGAGAAAAAATACAATATAGACTAGAAACATCTATTAATATTGATATGTTTACTACTAATATCTGCTCATTAAGGGCAATTTTTACAATTACTTCTTGGTACACAATACCAACTGTAATATTTTATTATACAAATCAAATTAATTAGAGCATAATGAGACAAAAGGAAAGAAATTGGGATATGTAGGCACAGATGAACTTTCTACTGATAAAAAAAAATTGGGAAAAAAATATCAAAAGATAGGAAAGCAGAGGATCAAATAGACATTGAGAGAACTACGGAGTCAGAGAGAGCATGTAGCAGCGAGAAAGGGATTCTGCACCATTTCATGGGATGAGCAATACAGAAATAAGAAGTGGAAAGGGGGTTGCAGATGTTGACTTTTAATGAGATTTTTAAAAAAGATACAAGAACATTAAATTATTTTTAACTTATCTTTTTTTCTTTTTGAATTCTGAGATGGGGTCACATGATGATGGAAACTTATTTTGGTTATATTTTGCGAGATTACCCAGGTCATTGTACTTACATGTATTTTTGTATTTTTGGTTAAAATTATATTTTGCTTCTGCCTAGACCTCAGCTGAGATCATAAGTTCTATGGAACTGATAGATTATTGGAATTAAGTAGTAAAGTGGAAGAGTCATTCTGACCCACAATGATGGATTTGTGAATAACACCATCAAGTTAGAGGGACATTGTGGTGATGATGCAGGTATTGGAAATGCAATTTTTGAGAAAATGCACATTTTGGGATAGGATGATACATGTATTAAAAAATAGACTTGGGGGATTAATATGGATTCAGTAAAGATATCAAGGAAGCACAAAAAATAACCTGTGAATTTACCAACTGGAAATTTACCTCTATTTTGTCCAAAAAGCTTGTCATTTCTTTTAAAATTGGAATCATTTTGAAAGTGCAATAGCAACTGGTGAAGGATACTATGAAACTTGCTCAAAAATAAATTTTTCTATTTATCATTTTAAAAGTCCCTCTCTATGTATACCAAAATTATTCTAGAGGAACTAAATATATAAATATTTTTTAAAATTATACAGAGATACAATTATATAAACATAGGTGTTATGAGCTTAATTGTGTCCCTTCAAAATCCATATCTTGAAGTGCTAACACCAAATACCTAATAAGACCTCTGATAAACAAAAATGTTAAATATAAATTTATGCTGCTATAAATTAATGTTTGTGGTAATTAACAATCAGCAATAGGAAAATGGTACACTACATAATTAATAACAAAGTTTGCACAACTTAGATGTGCAAAGAAAATTTAGATTATCTTTCAGAAATGTACTGAGATTTTCTCCAGGGTGACCTTTCTACT